CCGGCTGATCGCTCAGCATCAACGCTGCCATCCGGCCCCCCCCGACGTTCGCTGAAGACAGCCGCCGAAGCGAGCCTTTGCAAACCCTTTTCTGAGTCACACTCCTCAGCGCTCAAAGGTTTTGTTTCTCCCCCGCTATTAATAAAAATAAAAATCTTAAATTAAGACCGAAGCCAACATCTGCGCGGCTGGAAGCAGCGCTCCTGGCGCCTCCAGCAAGCCGAGCGCCCGAGCCCGGGGAAGGGCAGCAGCACCAGGCTGGCAGCACCGGTCGGGCCCCGCAACGCTGGGGTGGCAGGCCCAGGCGCGTGCCCTCCCTGCGCCCTGTCCCTCTTCCACCCAGACCCATCTCCCTGCCAACAGAATGGGAACGAACGCCTCCCGCACACACAGAGCCAACGCCACGCAGCCAGATACCGGCACGGATCCCTCTTACAACCCACACACCTTAATAACGAGAGGCAGGCAGGAAAATACGCAATTATACAAAAGAATTTATTCCAAAAGTTGGGACAAAAATGTTTCAGATTTAAAAAACCCCATCCCTCTTACAACCCACACACCTTAATAACGAGAGGCAGGCAGGAAAATACGCAATTATACAAAAGAATTTATTCCAAAAGTTGGGACAAAAATGTTTCAGATTTAAAAAACCCCACCCTTCCAACCACTCGGTAAGATGACACCTTCATGTCCGGGCCTAGGTTGCCGGCTCTCCCGGCCCAGCCTGCTCGCTCTCTTCCAGTCACAAGAACCCAAGAAGGGACCGAAACCTCAGCACAGCTCTGTCAGTGGCTGCAGGGGAATTCAGACACATCGATCTTCGGACACCCTGAGTACGTGCAACTACAGTTCACGTTAATGGAAGACAGGGATTTAAGCCGACCCTTAACTTCACGTTAGAGAGCAAAATTTTGCCTGCGTATTTATTTCACTCCCAGAGCACCTTCCGAACCGAGCAGTTTGGCTGAAATGCACTTTCACCGTTCTGACAGTCCGTGACCCCAGATGCGTACAATGAACCCAAGGATCTTCACAAACACCCGGCGGAAGCCCCCGTCTCCACAGAACGCAAGGCATTCACCTACTAAGCATGGAGTGTACCTGAACAGTGCAGTTTGTTTTAACCTACTTCCAAAACCAGAGAAAACACAAACAAAAATTTCGAGACTGTGCTGTGGTCCTGCAGAGGGTCTGTCTCCACTGAAGGAGAACACAGCTGAGGAGTATTACCCAGGTTGGAATCTGAGTGGAACTACACAGCCGTTGTACTGTATGAGCTCCAAAATAATTTAAAGCCTGAAATACAAACCTACCCCTTGATACACTGAAAACATCCCATCACTGTAGTACTGCAGAACACAACGGCGCACATTTCCAAGTAAGAGTTTGTCTTTGCCCAGTAATTGTAAAGCGATTATAGGCCAACTTCATGAAAAGTAGATTACAACCCAAGAGTAGAGTACGAAAGGAATACAGCTTGGTACATTGTGTCAAGAAATGAGAACCTTCCCATGCTGAAATAGTTTAAAATGCATTTGACTAAATCTGAAGTGTAAACTCATCTGTCTGCTGTGAAGAGTCGGCACCTGCAGTGCAACATTTCCAAGAGTCCTTGGGGCGCGGGTATTTGCTTGCTACAGGACTCCTCCTCCGCCTACCTACTGGGACAGAACACGCCAGCTTGGCTCCTTAACGGCACTACACAGCAACATTTCCGTACAGCCCACACGATGCTGCTACAGCAGTTTACATTCCTTTTCCAGTACTAATGAGAATTTATACTTAAAGTGCACCTCAAATCAGAAATTTCCAACTAATATACAAGAATAATATGCTAAGGCTTGCGGAAGGAGATCTGCTAACTCCAGTCACTGTGACATGAGTAAATTAAAAGGCACTCAGTAGGACAGAACACAAAGTTTAGACAATTAAGAGACTTCTTGCAAATAAGCATAGCTACAGATTTGGCCAGATTTGGGGTTTTTTTGCAAATGGAGCTGTATACAAGTACAGAGAGGGCAGAATTTATCCTACAGAGAAACATTTAACATGGTAAATGAGTTTAAGCTTTTTGGTAAGTAAGCTTACGCATTTAGTTCAGGAAGTTATTTTTCAATATTCAATACTTCTCCTAACCATCTTTCCCAATTCACCTGTCACAAAACCATTACGAAAAGAAGATTTGTTAGTTTCTGTAGGAAAAAAAAACCCATTTATTTTATAACTGCAGCTTAAATAGCGGCAACTAAACATGAAATCTTAAATACATTGGTTTAAAAAAAACAAACGTTTGCTGGTATAATACCATGATCTTTTGGAAAAAAGCTCCTAAAGAACATAAAATCAAGCGGGTCCAGTGTTTGCCAAATTATAAAAAAACCCTACTCCTTGAAAACAGTAAATAGCATAGATTGTTTCCTCTGATTTTGCTAGTTAACAGCTTGAAAACATTTTTTAACCTTTCTAAGACATCACACAAAGTTTCAGTACCATTTGGATGAACAGACAAAAGTCACTACGTTCACTGTGGTTGAAGAGAGCGCGATCTTAAAGGCAAAAAGCAATTGTCACTTGAACTAGTACATGGCTCTTGCTGCTCTGACTGGAGCTCTGCGGGGAGAGGGGGTGCGCCGGGGTCTCCGGGCCCTGGGAGGGTGGCTGAGAAAACGGTGCTCTCCGCATTTCCCATCTCCGCGATCGGTAAATTCATCGAATGGAGAGAGACAGCAGACATAAACGCAGCGGTGCTATAGTCTTCTTCTGGATGATGTATCTGGCTGGATTCTTTGTCTTTTGTTTTATCAAAAAAATTAGATTCATCAGAGTATGATCTAGAAAGATTATTCGTTCCTCCATACAGTGAGGTCATACAGGTGCTGCAGCTTAGACCTAAGGCAAAAAACAGAGACTGGATTTAATTACAGTATGGTGCATTCTTGAAACTGTGCTCTGATTTAACATCAGAAAGATTGTCCAAGATCAGTTGTCTGCATTTTTAACAGACCGAACTCTTCATCTCACCTATGACAATATTCCTCACATTGAAAAACACATGGAGGTTACCTAGGCTGATATGAACGATTTCTCTGTGTCTCTGTATCAGCTACTGTTTGACAGTGATGCACTGTATCTTAAGCTTTGTTTTAGGAAGTCACTTTAGCCCTTTGACTAACTTTTGACAGATTTTTCTCGCTGTGTTCTTTAAACAGCTTCAGCTACATGGTTCTACGCCAAAGCCAGCGGCATTTGAAGGCTGTTTTACCCGAAGCCAGAGAAAACTTCAGGCCTTTCATCTCCAGGGTTAAAATGTACTTCTTCCTCCTTTATTTTGCCTTTGATGGGCGTGGAAGGCGAAATCAGCTTTTTGGTTTAGAAGGCTTATACTTTCTTTATCTGCCTTAAAATATGAGTACATATAGTCACTTCAAGCTTTGTGTGCCAACAAAACCTCTCTGCCTGTACAAAACAACACATGCATACATTCACAGTGTCAAATTTTAAGTTTTGGCATTGAAGGCATACAGCAGAATTCTCCTCAGGCTGCATTTGCTGGCGTATCTTCTGCAAAGTTTAACAAAACCAGAGCATCCTGCCACTGCAGTAAGCAGCTTCAAGAGAAATGCGAGATGGAAGATAATTACCTATTTAGAGCTCTGAATTAGAACCTCACAGAAAGCAAAACTGAAATGTGAAGACAAACTTAACCATCACAACGACCCATGACAGACTTTTTTCCAATTTGTTATTTATGATGTGTTTAGATAATGAAAAGGCAAAGCCAGGATACATGCACTAGGCTCTTAAACACAAACTGGCAGTATTTCCAAGAGTGTTGTCCCAAACACTAGAGGAAAGAAAAAAAAAAAATTCTGTACTAAGAAACGTGATTTAAAGAATTACTGGAGTTTAATTTTGCAGACCCTCAAAATAAAACTTAGGTAGGTCTTACAAAATATTACCATAAACTTCTCACCTTTGAGAGCTTCAAGTTTTTCATTTTTGACTTTCAACACTACGTCAGTGATCTTTTGTAAGAGGAAGTTTTGTGTTCTTTCTCGCCTGATAGATTCAATCAGAGCATCCAGTCCCTTCGGGTTTTCGGCTAAGTAGTCCAATAACTTCCCAGTCTTTTTCCTGCTGGAAGATCGAGATGAAATTTCTTCTGTGTCCTCTCTAGTGAGTATTTTCTTTGAACGTAGGTAATCAAAGTGTCTCTCAGCTATGATTTTATCACACAGGTAAGGACGCATCCTTTCTAAAGCCTGAAAAACAAAACAAACAAGTATTAGCCAATCTTTCAATTTATTTAGAAGCCTGTATTTGAAACCTAGCCAATTCTGATACAGATTAAGGAGACAGTTTTTAAAGCTGCCACCATCTTACCTGGCAGAGATTTTTCCTCAGTGCAAAATTAAAAAACGTTATCTAATTTACTTATCCCTTTCATTAGATTTCTTTGAGTGAACTCAGGAGTTTTAATGCATGTTGAGTAACAAGGTGAATACTTACTGAAAATGTTAATTACATCAAGTCTCTGGTTATTACATTTCAGAACAGTCACCAAGTAAAAATTAAAAGAAATTATACCAACAAGACACAACAGCACCTACTCACTTTGTGCCTGCAGACACATTCTCATTAACTACCCAGTTGCCACATTTCCCTACTATTTGTATCCATGAGGCACAACTCCAAGTACTGCAGTTACTGACGTTTTCTGTACATTGAGTAAAAGCAGTCTCAGAGCAACAGCATGAATATACTCACTGCTTAAAAGGTTTGTTAAATAAACAACACTATTTACAAATTCAACAGATGACTGGCATCCAAAATACATGCACTTTCATCCACAGATTTACCTACTCTCAACAACTTTACTAGCTGCTTTTTCTCTTCCTCAGACTGCCTTCTTTTGGTTTAAGATTTTTTGTTAAACACTTCAAGCAACCTGCACAGCCCTAACACGCTGCATAGACCACTGAGCTTTGGTGTAACTCTGATGACTCTGACAAAAGCAGAATGACTCTGCCCTCGGCAGTGCAGCTCCAGCTTAGCAGTGTAAAGCGGTTAAATCCTCTCTACACCCAGCAAGAAGAAAGAGGTGGGACAACCTGCCCACATGAGGGAACTCCATCCACCACCTAAAGACCCAACATGCCGTCCACTAACACCGGGTACGATGAAGTGGAGACGTCTGCCCTAAGCACTTCCGCAGCAAGTGCCACTTCGCAGCTCCAGGAACTGTAACGCCTAGTAGCAGATCACACTCACTCTTCCTGGGGAAACAGGCTGTCTTTCGTAACCATATTCAATTCTCACCTGACCACCAATTTATTTTGGACGTAGTTTTATAGGAGCAATGTCTGAACTGAAGATCCTGTGTCACCACTTTCGTTTCCTCCTCAGAACATCCAGTGTCCTCTCATATAGTGACCAATTTATTTCTACAGTCATCAAAACAAAAAACAATCTTCCTCCACCTTATTCATGGGGTATATATAAGCACAAACATCACCAAAATGTAACTGATATTCATCATATTTTAATCTGTACATTAACAAGCCTGCTTGATACCAACATCAAAACAGAATTAATGTATGTAATCACAACTCTGGTTTCAGTATCTACTGCTCTGTGAAGATGAGTCATAAATGACATCTCTGGCAATTTTGTAGTATTATATAAAACAAGAGCTTGTTTTTCAAGTACAATTTCCCCACCAACATTTTTCACTGTGCTGAATTACATAGGAAGTCAGACACCCACTAGCTGAATATCACTGATGTGAAAAGACTAACACCCCCCCAGTCTCACCTGATTCAAAAAAAGAAAAAAAAATACGTTTGAAAGCCAGAAGGGAAAACACCTTTATATACAACACATGTGAAGAAATGGAAAGAAGCAAAACTTCTTTCCTGAATAAAGCTTTCAAATATCCTCCTGCTTTGTGAGATTAGGTTCCACAACTGCAGCATTTAAAAATTAAACTTTGAAGATGACTGTTTGCCTTACAGCCATTTACTAGCTTAGTAAGTAGCAGCAGAGGAAAAGCTAGATATAAGGACGCACCTTCAGGCAGACAGTTTCAAACAGCAAAGTACCATCTGGCATACTGGTGCCTGGGAAAGCACCAATAACTCTTACCGAAAAAACTTCCTGAGCAGGCACATTGGCACTAGGGTGGCCTAACAGCTACGATGAGAGCAGAAAAGAGCACCAGCACAGCTTATCCAGTTCAGGTGGCTCTGAATATGTCTCAAGTGTCCAGCTGCAACTAGCCCATGCCGAATGGCTATACAGGCATGCAGCAGGCAATACAGATTTCTTCAGCTCTCATGGAACTCTCATCCTACCACCAGAAGGATCAACCAACAAACTCTGAAACATAAGGCTCAGTCAATGTTTCAACACTGGAAGAATAGAGCGAGTTGTTATTGAACAGAAAGGCTACTGTGTTTTGACTGACATCTTCCTGTAAAGAGCCTTTCACTGCATGAAGCGTATCAGCTCTGAACGCCTCTCCGCACTGTCCTCATGGGTTAACAATTTGTGAGGGACAGAAAGAATAAACACATTAAAATAGAAACTTTAAATAGACAAATTTAGATATAAATATACAATTTAGATTTAGATATAAATATTAGTAATACTAAATTATTATTAATTATATAAATATTATTATAAATATACTATTAGATTAATTTAGATATAAATATACAAATTTAGACATAAATACACAGCATTATCTGTATCAATAATGTTGTGTGGCTCACTGCCTCCTTCCCAGCTCTCGAACGCAAGACTCCAACCTTCATAATTCCTCCTCAGGAGAAGTTCACCCAGCCCAAGCTGTCCTCGCAGGCTGGCTTTCCGAGGTACGCTGCCCCGTAACGTTCACGGAGCTTCTGGTGATGCAGGGCTCCTGCAACAGCCCCGGAACAGCTACGCGAGCTCACAGGGAACCAGCGCTTTGCGTCACGAGGCCGCAACGTCTAAAGCCGGAGAGCAGCAGCTCCGGAGTCGGATTTACTGGGCTGCATTTTGATGACAAAACCGCTGCCGTTTCGTGGTACGCGTCAGGTTTCCACCGGGCCCTCCCAGCGCTGCCGGACCCGGGCCTTCGGCGCGGTGCGGCC